GTTGCTTATAGTCTATCATAATCTATACTATTAACCAAGGTTAAATGTGTTTCAGGGGCTCGTAGTCATGTCTACAGATCTTGAAGAAGTGGTTAGCAGCATTTTGAATGTCAAAATTCCAGAAATGTGGATGCGTAAATCCTACCCAAGCCTTAAACCACTTGGCAGCTATGTGAATGACTTCCTTGCAAGACTAAAATTCTTGCAGGTAAGTTCATCCGAATGACCGTATATTGTTAAGTTTCTCCTGGTTTCATTTTCTTCTTCAGAATGCTTACTGTAAGGGGTATTTCTCTCTAGTTTTTCTGTGCCTCTCAAGCACAACTCAGCACTACTTAATATTTCATGTAATGTATGTAACTGCTACACCGAACTGTCAAAAAGCTAGTACTAAATGAAGGGAGAAAACATCTAGCTATGTTGGTTTTTCCACTAAGTATTTAACATTAAAATAGATACCTACAGCAAAACATCTTAGAAAGCCAGTCAAGCGACCAGTGAGGGGTATTAGAGCTTCATTGCCCAGCACTTTTCTAGGTCATGAAATCACTAGATTGCTGGTTCAGCCCAAGTCAGTAATGACCTCAAAGGCTAATTGTCTTGGAAATGTTGAGTGGGCAGAAGCCTATCTACTAATTGTCTGGTAATATTGGTGCTTAACTATGTTCTTATTAACAATTGTACCTATTAGAAATATGGATTCATTTCCTAGATTCTGTATATAATGTGTCAAAAACTGCCTATGAAGAAATTTCTGCAGGGATAAAATGGTTAAACTCCCTTTTGATAATACAGGCCTTTTGTTTGCTACAGTCAATACTAAGGAACTAAGATTGTTTTTGAAGTTATACCTTGGGCTCTTATAGGGAAAAGCTTTTCAAACTCATGTCTTCAGATTTGCTTCTCTAATTTACTATCTAGTTAAAGTTGGTATTCAACTGACTTACCATTAGAATATATGTTATGAACAGAGAATTAAAGTATCTTGATATTTCTAAAGGCCTTAAGGTCTCACTACCCTGCTTCTTCCAGGAATTCCTTATACAATATTGTGTTCCTATATGTTGAATTTTACTGTGTTTTAGTGAAGTAGGAAGAAAAACTTCCAAAACAACCTTCTGTTGGGTACTAATGACTAATTAGAGAGAGAAAAAAAGTGAAAAACAGAACCATCAGACCAGACTTTATGGGGATCTCTTCTTCCGTTCAACTATATAACATGATATATTGTGTAACAATGCATATCAGATATTCAGTATTGTAGGGAGCTTTTCTGAAAGAATGACGTATAAAACAGACATTTGTTTGCATTAATGCACATTGTAATTTCCAAGCTGATATGATAGGTATGAAATTGAAGTCAGGACAAACACCGAATATGCCACCTGTTTTTAAACCTTGAGAGTATGGCTTGTTATTACCCAGAGGTCATTTATTAGTTCGTCTAAAAGATAATAAGTGTCTTTGGATAAATTTTATTAAGTAGTGTTGTATTCAGAAGTTGAAAGGCTCTCTAGGTGTAGTGGCTCACGCCTGTAATCCCAGCACTCTGGGAGGCTGAGGAAGGCATATTGCTTGAGTCTAGGAGTTCAAGACCAGCCTGGGCAAAATAGCAAAACCCCTTCTCAACTAAAAACACAGAAAAATTAGCCAGGTGTGGTGGTGTGTGCCTGTATTCCCAGCTACTTGGGAGGCTGAGGTGAGAGGCTCGCCTGAGCCCTGCCTGGGCAACCAGAGTGAGACTGTCTCAAAAAAAAAAAAAAAAAAGGTTGAAAGGCGCTACCGTTAGCCCACTTGTGTTTTACACCCTAGCAATGGTACGAGGTTGGTCCTCCTCCAGTCTTCTGGCTTTCTGGCTTCTTCTTCACACAAGCCTTCCTGACTGGTGCCCAGCAGAACTACGCCAGGAAATACACAATTCCTATTGATCTTCTTGGGTTTGACTATGAAGTGATGGAAGACAAAGAATACAAGCATCCTCCTGAGGATGGTAAGTGAGTGACAGAATAAGTTGGCTCATATCTGGGCACTGAACAAAAACATGACATTCTAGCTTACTTTCCTCAGCTGTTAAAAAAGTAATAAACATGAATGTAATTTACCCTAAATGCCGGAGAAAAAAATTATTGAGATACAAAGAGCAAATGAGTGAGCTGGGGGGAAAGAGAGAGAGAAGGGGTGAGGGGGAATGATCAAGCAAATAAGGGAGGAAAATGATAACAGCAGATGAATCTGGGTAAAGAATATATGTCGTTTGTACTTTTTTGCAAAATTTTATAAGTTAGAAGTTATTCCTAAAGTGTTAAGAAGGTAATCATCAAATTAATAGCACATGGGATAATCAGCCATAATCTTATGTTGACTGTGGGGACTTGACATGTACAGCATTGAAAAGAAGGTTTTTCCTGGTCCCTTGAAGTGTATACTTTTGTAGAATCCTAAAATATGTATTCTTTCCTGTTATATATATGTCATTCCAAAACTTGGAGCTTACCATTCCAAAATTTACACCTAATAGAAACATTTGCTTTGTGTTTGAAGGATTGTGAGGAAATCTTTATTTTCTCAATGATTGTCTACACTTTATGGCTACCCTGATGTTTTATTTCAAATTTAGTGGACAAGACCACTATTTTAAATGTTATTTTTTAAATGCTACAGATTACAGAATTTTACCAAAATTGTCTTTATATAAATGACATTAATCTGTAAGTGACTGTTAATGTGTACTGCTTTAACTATGTGTTGAAGACAACTTCCTTATTCATCACTGAATAATGGATTCACTGGCTCACTCTTCTGTCAGGCACTGGAGATATCAACAGGGAACAGTTTAGGATCTTGTCCCTCAACTAATTTATACTGTGGTGGAAGACACTAACAAGTAGATATGTAATCACAACAGTGTATGATAATCACATTAGTGTGCCAAGAAGTTTTATTTTAAATTGATGTCACAAATCTCAAGATGGTTTGTAACACTATGAAGCAATCCCACTACTATTCCCGGGGATATCTGCTTTCCTCCTGTCAAAACAACCACTTATGCCCTCTTTGCCCTTCCTTCTGCTCCCACATCTCACCTTATCCTTCATGGAAAAAAATTAAAAGCCATCTGAAGAGAGCTTTTAGCACCACTGACTCACTGCATTTGTCAACGTCTGTACCCTTGAGGAATCTAGATCCCATTTTCTTTTTCCTTCTCAAGGGCTTTGCTCCTTTAATTGTGCCCTTTCAGGAATAAATGATTTCTCTCATTAATAAATAATTCCTGTCAACCTACAACATGCTCTAGAATCTCTCATCTTAAATCAACCATTTCAATTGTCTTTCTACATCCCCCTCAGCTGCTGTCCCGGATCTCCGCTCACCATTATAGCAGACTTTCTCAAAAGAATTGTCTTTACATGCTGTCTGCAGCTTCTCACTTCCTATTTGTTGTCTACCTTTCATCCTTTCTAATCAACTGATGCTGTTCTTTTCCGAGTTAGCGATGGCTTCCATGTTGACAAATCCCATGAATTCTCTTCTGTCTTCATCTTAATTTCTTAGTGATTTTTACCACTCGCCATCTTCATCTTTCTAGAGACATGCTTCTCTGTTTCCAGGACATCATCCTCTCCTGATTTTCCTTATCTCATTGGCCACATTCATGCAGGTTGGCTGGTTTAGGCTCCCCTAATATTACAGTTTCCAAGGACTCAGTCTGGGACTATTTCTTTTTTCTGATAGCATCCTAGCCCCAAGTGACCTTATTCTTTTTTTGTATCTTTAAACATTAACTCTGCTTATGTCCTCCAAATGTAAATCTCTGAATCTTCAATCTAGATCTTTCCTCTAAGATCAGACCTCCATATCCAATTGCCAACCTGAAATCTCCACTTTGATATCTCCTGAATATGTAAAATGAGTCATTTCCATAAATGGCACCACCATCCAGACAGAAACCCAGGAATTCTTCATTCTTCTGCTCCCTCATCTGTTCATATCAAGGGCAGTTGCTCACCTATCATCCTACTGTCACCACAACTTTTTTACTTTTTTTGAGACAGGGTCTCACTTTGTCACCCCGGCTACAGTGCAGTGGTGTGATCTTGACTTACTGCAGCCTTGACCTCCTGGGCCCAAGTGATCCTCCCACTCAGTCTCCTGAGTACCTGGGACCAGAGGCGTGCGCCACCATGCCCAGCTAATTTTTTCATTTTTTGTATAGACAGGGTCTCCCTGTGTTGTCCAGGCTGTTCTCAGGCTGTTCTCGGTCTCCTGAGCTCAAGAAATCCACTCATCTTGGGCTCCCAAAGTGCTGGGATTACAGGCGTGAGCCACTGCACCTGGCCCCACCACCATTTTTATCTTGCCTTCTCCTCTAGCCTTTATCCTGTCTCCCTACTGTCATTACCCACTTATTGCCTTTAATTTGTATAGAAGCCACAGAATTATTTTAAAAATGAAAATAGATTATATCAGCTTTTGGTCTCCATTGAAAACCCAGACAACTAAATACGTTTTTTCCCTTTGTGGTTTGAATAAAATCCAGACCCCTTATGGTGACAATGAGGCCAGGAGTGTTCTAGCCACCACCCACCCATACAAGCTCATCATGTGCCATTATGCTCAGGTCACACTAACCTCCTGACAGTTTCTAGAACAGCTCACGTTCTTCTCTTTTGGGATCTTGGGAACACCACTTTCATCTGTTGGAGCCGCCCATTTCACCTTATTATCCCCCTCTTGCAACTCTGCTTATTAACTTCAAAGCATCAGACTGTAATGATTTTATGTGTTTCTTTCTTTATATTTCTGTCCCTCACTACGGTACAGATACCAGAAGAGCGGTGACCTTGTTTGTCTGCACCATTCTTTCTTGAGTGCCTCTCAGTGTCTAGCACATAAAGGGCCCTCAAATGCTGCTGGGGAAATTCCAAAAATTATGCTACTGGAATCCACTAAAAATGTATGGACTCAAACCCAACCTTTTAAAGATACCTTTTATTCCACTCTCTAATACTTAAACAGTTTTATTGCAGAAACACATTTAAGAACAATGAATGCAAGGAATAAAGAATCATTGGGACATAAGACATCTTAGAAGTAATATTTTTCAGTCACAGATGCCTAACCTACCATTAATCTGACTATTTGTTCAAAATCTCTTTATTCTTAACATACTCAAAAGAAACTTTATCCCACTAGAGGCTTTTAAAATAAATAAATAAAATACAGAAGGAAATTTAACAACCTTCTGCTAAGTTATTTATTGAATGTAAGCTTTAACAAAATTTTTTCCCATACAGCTCACTATATTACATGTCATAAAAGACACTAATAAATATGAGTTTGAGCCCCTGCCCTCATAAAATTAAAAGTATAGTTAGATAAATTTAGCAACATACCAGAAGGATAAATAATTTGGCTCAAATTAAGTATTTGGCAATGGAGGAAAGGAATGTTTAAGTTGGGTAAAAGCAAATCAAGGAAAGGGCACAGATACTTACCATGGGGCTGCTCTGTACCACTGCTGGGATCCAGAGACTGCCCGGTCCATTACACTGAATCCTCACAGTACCTCTGTGGCTCAGATACTACTATTACCGCCATTAGACAAGGTGGAAACTAAGGCTCAGGGGGGTTAAGTAACTTGCTGTAGGTCTCACAGCTAATAATGGACAGAGTTGAGATTCAGACCCAGGCCATCTGGCTCTCATGCTTAGCTGTTTTCTCTATGGCCTACTGAGTATTTTGATAGAAGTTTGAAAACATCACATTTCTCAAGGAATATTTTCTTAAAGGAGTGATGGTTACTTCCTAAGTATTTAATTTAGATCCATGAATTTTTTTCTAGTTCTTTTCATATTATTATAATAGGCAGAAGGTGGCATTTGGGTTGAAGTTTGAGCAGCACTGATGATGTCTTTTAAGGGTTATATGTTTTTGAACTCAGCTAAAAGACTGAATTTATAAGCATTGCCAAAAGCTTCTGAACTAGCTAATACCCAAGATCAAACTATTGTGTTGCCCGTTATTATATACTGAACATAATTATTCTACAGGGTAGCTGATATTTCTTTTTACGTTGATTTACTAATTTAATCCATAGAAGCTCTTATTAAAGAAGATCAAGTATTAAAAATCCAAAACTATCTTGAAAACAGTGGAGTAAAAATAAAGCACAACTTATTAAAGGATCCATAAAGCCCATTTAGTGTTCCAAGATCATACACTGAAGAGCAGTCATCAGCTAATTAAACTGTTTTACTGACTACCAGTGTTGGCCCAGGCTTAATTTATAATAGCTGATAGATTTCTGCAAAATCTCAAACTTTATTATTTTATACACTTACCAACACACACATATGCATTTCACCAATAAGCACACAGATCCACAAATTAGCCTTTTTTCATTCTAGTTTTTTCCTTCCTACTTAGCTAATTATCAGAAAGAAAAAGAGAATCCATGGAATGATTTAGATAAATGGGTTTTTCCCCAAGGAATCAATTTCTCATAGGACCCTAGTGGGAGGGACATAAATCACACCTGAGAACAGCTTGGGATAGAAGCCAAGTTTCTTTTTTTTCCAATCTCTACCCCTTCACCATACTTTATAGATATTTTTGTATGTTCCTGTTTCTAGGTTCTGGGCCTCATAAAGATGTCATCCTTATATACTTAAGATTAAATTAAAATACAATGAAAAGGGGCACCTAAAGGCTACAATGCTGCTGAAAGTTTTTTAGTATTTGAAATCTGTATTAGTGAGGGTTCTCTAGAGGGACAGAACTAATAGGATATATGTATATATGGAAGGGAGTTTATTAAGGAGAATTGACTCACACGATCACAAGGTAAAGTCCCACAGGATAGGCTGTATGCAAGTTAAGGGGCAAGGAAGCCAGTAGTGGATCAGTCAGTCTGAGTCCCAAAACCTCAAAAGTAGGGAAGCAGACAGTGCAGCCTTCAGTCTGTGGCCACAGGCCCAAGACCCCCTGGCAAACCACTAGAGTAAGTCCAAGAGTCCAAAACCCAGAGAACCTGGAGGCTGATGTTTGAGGGTGGGAAGCATCCAGCATGGGAGAAAGATGAAGGCTGGAAGGCTTAGCAAGTCTGCTCTTTCCAACTTCTGCCTGCTTTATTCTAGCTGCACTGGAAGCTGATTAGATGGTGTCCACCCACATTGAGGGTGGGTCTGCCTATCCCAGTTCAATTGACTCAAATGTTAATCTCCTTTGGCAACACCCTCACAGACACACCCAGGAACAATACTTTGCATCCTTCAATCCCATCAAGTTGACAATATTAATCGTCACAGGATCCTATATTATGGATGCAACTACCTAAGCTTCCTCTGATCTGAATTGCTAGGTACTACTAGGTGACTCAGTCACCAGTTGACAGCATTGCATAGCATGAAGGGAGGCAGAAAATAGTGAACGAGAGGGGAACTGGAAAAACTGTAGCTGACACTATGTGCTGATGACATCTCACAGATGGCAAAGGGCATCACTCATAGAGCAGGACAGCTATGAACAAGGACCTGTTAACATCTGTCATTTTCTATATATTCGATATATCTATATCTTTATGGTCCTTACTAGCCATGAGAAATAAAAATGTATTTAAAGATTCTCACCTTATTTCCTATACAATTGATGGGTTGGAAAGAACTTTTATCCCTATCACCACTTTTCTAGGTGTTGACATGAACTCTTTGGTTTACTTTCTATGATATTATCACTCTTCCCAAATGAGGAATAACTAGTCTGATTGGTTAGAGGCAGAAATTTATTGGGCTATGCTTTTGAGTCAGTCAGGGAGGGTATTAAATAGCTCACTTGGACCTGTGTATAGGTTCTCTTTCTTTTCCATTGTATTTCATACTATAAAGTTCTCCTTCCTTGCCCTATCCCCACCTGTTTTGGTGACTGGTGGACTGGCCTTAGAGCTGGCCACAGAGGTAAAGACGCAGAATGTGCTCTGCAGACCCATCTCTTCCCTCACGCAGGTCCACCCCTCCATTGCCCCGGGCTCAAGGTCCATTTTGCAATCCAGCTTTACCAGAGTTATACATTGGCAGTTATTGGACAAGTGCTTTGTCAATTAATAGAACTGATACTGTATTCCAACGTATTCTTCCCATCAGTTAAAACCCAGAGAAGAGAAAGGGTCTTTCCCCAACTCCATCATTAAACTATCCACATGTGGCCATTTAAATTTAACTATAATTAAAATAAAATTTAAAATTCAGTTATTTGGTCACACCAGCCACATTTCAAGTGTTCAACTTACTAATACCAGCCTCTTGTAGCTAGTGGCTACCATATGGGACAACACATAGAACATTTCCATCATTGCAAAAAGTCCTATTGGACAGCACTGCTGAAGTAGATTTTCATATACAACTCTACAAAGGCATTTTCCCCTATATTAGCTGATTTGATTCTAACAACTCTACAAGGTGGACAAAGCAGATATTACTATTTTACAAATGTTTTTAAGGTTGTTCTCCAGATGACAAAACAGGTTTTGAGGTTAGATTAATTGCTCAAGGTTACACAACAAATTAGGAACTAAAACTTTGGTCTTCTCAAAGTCTTTATTGCTTGACATCTGTACTGTTACAATCAATTTTACCTTCAGACTCCAATCCATGAGGCTTTACTGATATGTAAAGCCAAAGAAAGTAACTCATGTTTCACTGATTGCCTAATTTGTACTCTTTAGCTGTTAGTGTACAACATCACTTTCTAGAGGGAGTTCATCATGTGTCTTTCATCATCAACAGACTAAGGAGAGCTCTTGGCAGTAAGAATAAATTCTAAAAGGGGAGGAGCAATATAATTCTTACGACATTAGAGATCTACAGAAGGGTACTTTGTTCATATGCTGCCCACTAGCCACCACTCAATCCCTATTACCTTTATTAAGAACTATTTTCCCCCCTAGATTTCACAGCTTCTGAAAACACAGTATAATTATTGACTAATTAACAATGTAAATTTGATAATGTTCACACACACTGAGAACTTCCCATAGACTCATTTAAAATTTCTTTCCTCTTTCGTTTTCCACACCTAATTTTACTATTGCATTATTTCACTAGGCAAAGTTTCAATGTTCTTGAAATATGGATGTTAAAACACTCAGGAGATTGCTTTCATTGGAGAACAAGTCTTAGGCTGCAAATCTAGTATCACCTGCATAGTACTTACATTAGAAATTTCAGATTCAGAACGCAATCAAAATGCATATATAAAGTATTATATTAATGTGTTTCTTTTATATTTAGGTGTTTTCATTCATGGATTATTTCTGGATGGAGCTTCCTGGAATAGAAAGATCAAGAAACTTGCAGAATCGCATCCCAAAATTCTTTATGATACAGTGCCTGTGGTTAGTAAATTCTAATTATATATACATGTGGAATTATTTTATACATTTTTTATATATAAAATAGACCCCATCTTGTATGTATATATGCATGTGCATATGTATATATATAAACAAACACATATACAGACAATTCTTGTTATTCATGGGAATTACATTCTATAAAGTTGCTTCCAACATTGAATTAGCAAATACTGAACCATTGCTCCTGGGGAAATAAATACAGGGTTATTTCTTTGGTCACAACATTTTTGTTAGCTGATCAATAAATAACCCTATTTGTGTCTGTTTAGAGACACCTTATTTAATATACAATGTTGAGTCATTAACTCACGGTCAAAATTCTGTGAGCTTCGTTGAGACATGAGCTAATATTTTCTCTACGAGGCGTATCAGCCTTCTTGCACTTAGCACTGGCCGGGCGCGGTGGCTCAGCACTTTGGGAGGCTGAGGCGGGCGGATCACCTGAGGTCGGGCATTCGAGACCAGCCTGACCAACATGGTGAAACCCTGTCTCTACTAAAAATACAAAAATTAGCCGGGCGTGGTAGCAGGTGCCTGTAATCCCAGCTACTCGGGAGGCTGAGGGAGGAGAATCGCTTGAACCCAGGAGGTGGAGGCTGTGGTGAGCTGAGATCACACCACTGCACTCCACCCTGGGCAACAAGAGCAAAACTCCGTCTCAAAAACAAAAAACAAAAAAAAAAACAGCACTGCGTTACACATGGGGGTCATTTTAAACAGTGAAATCGCCAACAAAAACACAGAAATGTGAAAACTCTGGTACTAAATAGGCAATGAAAAAGGACACTAGTTTACAGTTATGAGGTGAAACAAGAAAGCAGAGCCTCTCACCTGGTTCAACCTGAGCTGGGAGAGTGTGTTGGATGACACAAATCTTTAATGCTCTGCAAATGTCCACCAAGGGGCACGACAATGCTGCCAAATGATTTTAGGATTAGAAATAAACTTTGGTGAGTAGGCAAATTTGGAAATGTGGAATCCACAAATAGTGAGGTCAACTGTATATACATTCACACACACGTGTTCATTATATATTTTTTCATACACTGACTCGAAAATGTGAAACTTGCATATTAAAAGATTTTGAAAACCATCAACTTAAAAAGCTACATTTCCTAGGCACCTATCTCCAGCATTGGCAGATTAAGCTTTATAAAATATAATTAAGCTTCCCTCTATAACTGCATCATGAGAAAATGGCTTAAGAAAACAGCATTTTGAAGGGTAGGTCTGGGATGCTGTGATAAAATATAGGCAGTGGGATTTATGTGAATTCTGTTTGCAGGATTCTGGCAGCAGCTCAAAGACAGGTAAAAAGCCCTTCAGAGCAGCTGTAACACGATCAGTGAGGGGTCAACTGACAGCCAATTGTGAGAAAGCTGTCATATATTTTTAAATGTCATGGGCACAAAAGTTTAAAATACAAGACCCAAATTGAAAGTTGCAAGGACAAGTAAATGCAATTTCAGGAGCTGATCGAAATTGAGTCTTTCACATGGAAACTCGTAAGTAGCTTGCAGTGTGTGCAAAAAGAAATTAATATATAAACTGATAATGGTTCTCCTGAATAAGGAGCTACTTAGAAATAAAAATTCTCATTAGAAAAATCCCCTGGGGTTGAAATGAAATCTGAGTTCGGAAGAGTGCTTTGAGTCTTACGTTGTAGTTAATATTTCAGAAACTGCCTTGTGGATCCCCCCCTTATGAAAACCTGGATTCCACAATTAAGTGGGAGAAACAGAGAAACTCGCATCCTTATAAGCTCCTTGAACAATCTGTGTTTTGACCTGAGAAACCTAAAAGAGGGGTCTGAACATTGGGGCTGTCAAGTCCTATCATCTCGAGGATTGCTATTACTTCTACTCCAGAAAAATAAATTGAATTAAATTCTAAAATATCTTTATGAACATGGTTTGTTCTTACTCTTACATTCAAAGATCAAATTGCCTCAAAATCTTATTTTTAAGATTGGTGAGGTCCAATAATAAATTGTAGGAACTTGGTTAATGACTAAAAAGAATGGGGTGTAGATTGTGGTTATAAAGGAATGCAATTATATTTTAAACAGCATAATATATATAGTATCTCCTTTATAATAGTCTCCTAAAATGGGAAGGTTTTCTAGTCATACAGTTGTTGATAAAAATCCCTTCAGCATTTTTTGAGACTGGCTTTCAATTAATATAAAGGCACATGATTCTGAGTATCAGTGTGGCAATTCTCTCCTTTGAAAGTATGTCTGGTTTTTTTTTTATCATTGTAAGTACTAAAAGTCATTTCCCAGGTAATTGTGGTTGAGAGATGAATAGTTGGAAAATATGCTTTTAGACAGAGTAGGCGAAAACTATTTTGTCTCAGTTATGAGAGTTCTATAAAATGTTTTGAGCAATCACAGCACCGCTGGTGAAAATAAATCTGTTTGGGCCACAGAAATTTGCATACATAACCTTACTCTGAGAATCAATAGTAGGCTCAAATACATGTATATTTAACAGCCTTGACTTAAAGAGATGTTATGTATTTTCTTCCAGATGTGGCTAAAGCCCTGTAAGAGGGCAGATATTCCAAAACGGCCAAGTTATGTTGCTCCATTGTATAAGACAAGTGAGCGGAGAGGAACATTATCCACTACTGGCCATTCCACAAATTTTGTGATTGCCATGACTCTTCCCTCTGACCAACCCAAGGAACACTGGATTGGACGAGGTGTGGCACTGTTATGTCAACTTAATTCATAACCAGAAGACGTCATTTCCTTGTTCCTATTTCTTGTTGGATGGCTGAGTAGGAAGCATATTTTACTACTTAAAAACATTTTTTTTTTGGTTTAAATACATTTGACTAAAGTTATAATTATGAATTTACTTATGAGCAAATGCAGATAAACTTAATATGATTCATACTTAAATGTAAGGAAATGTTCTGAAATAAAGACTAAAGAAAACACATTGGCATATTTGCTCTCTCTGAGTAACTTTATTTTGGAGGAGTTCCATAAGCATTAGGAACATACATAAAATGACACACCACTGTTGACAATGAAAAAAAAAAACAGCATTTGATATTTTCCAGCTTTTTAAGTTAAAAAAAAAATGATTCAGTTAAAACAAAACAAAAGTTTAGATATTTTAGCAAGAATCACCTTGCAGGACCATAATCACATTTAAGCCACTGACTTATTGTTAATGGAAAAAATTCACACTGCATCTAGTTACTATAGTATTTCTAAGCATAATCACAGCTGATTGAATGCAATGTGATATATACTAAAATTCATATGGATGTCACACAGTGACAGCATTGTACAAGTAACATTAATGACCTCCAACAAACACACTTTAAATTAGACTGGTCAAGCTAAAAGGAATGTTGGAGCCAACAGAAATGTAGTGGAATTCAGATTGTCTAGTAAGACTTGAAACTATACATTAGAATGATGTGAAAACTAAATACTGGTGGAACCCTAATACTAGCAGCAACTGTTACAGCCCTCTTAAAAGATTTGTAAAATCTGGCAAATAAAGATAATACAATATTTGAGAGAATATAAAACTTTATATACTTCAGCATAACCCACTTGCTTTAAATCAGGTATTTTAAAACTGGGAGTATATTCCAGCTGTTGCTTTTATAAAAGTTCTAAAATGAAGCAGATTTAATGCTGGAATGCGGAATCCTATTTGGGTATAAAAACCCAAAAATGAACTATAAATATATCTTGGTTCAGAAATCAAGATACATGAATCACTTGAAGTTGGCAGTACTAAATAAAATATCAGCACCTTTTAGCTAGGTTACTTGAAGGGCCAAGCAATGAGATGAGGACTGTCCTAATTCAGTGCCCAGTGCTGAAAACAATCTATGTATAAAACTTCTACTTATTATAAGGAGGCCATGGAGTAAGTCAGAAATAATTTTTCAGATTCAAGCATAAATTAAAGAAAGAACACCTAAGCGCCCTTGCTTACAGCGTACAGAAGAAACACTGGCAATAATCTATAAATACCTGGATGCATGTGCTGCTCTCAGTTTTGTTTTAAAGTTCATAGAGTAGGAGGAAAGAAGAGTACTAAATGAAAACACTTTAGATGGAATGGAAAAAGAGTTTGGCTCTTATATATTTGAACGATAAGATTGTTATAGCAGCTACACTGGTTGCCAAGCAGATTAAAACAAAGCTAGCTGCACATAGTTCAAACACAGTTTACCTGGCATCAATGAAGACCATGTGGCATAGGATGTAAACAGAAAGCTACATGCATATGACTAGTAATACAAATTATTAAGTAAAATTTCAGGATAAACATGGCTTGCACTTCTCACAAATCACAATTACGTTAGGAGAACAGGGCACCTAAAAAAGAGACTAACCTCTATCAGGCACCAACAGCATATCTTGGCACAAGATGATCAGGTGATTTCAGCTGAGTAATTTAAATGTGTCTTCCAAGTCACTTGGGTACCATGACAGCCATGGCAATAATGGAGTTTATCCTAGTCACTGTTCTAAATTGACACTTCATGTACAGATTACAGACATAGTAAACTTTGATTTTCTGCTTTACGACCTTGTAGCCAGCCACAACATGTGCTCTTGGTTCCAATGCCAAACTGGTAAAACAAGGTGAACATTCAGAACTTACATTTCCCAATTAACTAGTTGGTACTGTTAAAATAGGAAAATCAACTATTTAAACCATGTTTGGTTCATTTCTTTGATATTTTCTAGAGGGTTACAATTGTTTAAAAAGAGAACATTGACCACATGCTCCAAACCCTCACCTCCCCCCACCAAAAAAAAAAACAACAAAACCAAACCAAAACAAAATTAAAGTAAAAAACAAAACAAAACAGAAAGAACACCCCAACACCAAGTATTATAATAATACAAAGAACCATTATGAATCTTTCATTAAACCGAAGCTCACACAAACATACAATCACAAATTTCAGTAGTTTAGGCTGCAGGTTTAAACACTATGCAAATATATACAAAAATAGTAACTCTAGATTCAAGAATAAGGGCTTTTCCCAATGCTAAATTCATACTCTAATGCAGCCTGAGCTTTCCTCTAGTTCCTATGTCTACTTTATGCAGCTTCAAAGCTGTGTCAAGTTGATCCCTATCACCACATGTATATATGTAGCTGAATTAAAGAACACTACAATTCATTCTTAAAACACACAAAAAATGTCTCCCCAAAGTCCATTTAAAATATTTTTAAAGTTAAATGATTTTTTTTGGTTCGATCTCTATTTCTGCATAGCCACAGAAGTTTCTACTAATAAAGAGACTAGTGTTTTATATGATTATTTTGTGAAAAGTCTTAATCAAACATCAACACTGGTTCATGGAGTCCCATATTCTCCTCTCTTTATCACAAGCTTTATATTTTTAAAAGACCCCTACGTGCAGGGAAAACAGTACTAAGCACCGGCCTTTTGTGGTTAGGCTCAAATCTACGAAACTTGTAAGTAGTGCAAGCCACTGACTTTCCTTTGAGCAACGTGCATACAGTACAAGGAACAGATGCAAAGCTGCATGGTAACATTCTCGTAATCAACAGTGATTACTGGGAAAGGTCAAAACTGGATGTCAAACACAATTTTGTCTTCATAGAGGGCAATCACCAGCATAATGGCAAATCCAAACAGCAATCCTAAATTCTGAAGGATGAATTGCCCCACAGGACAAAAGCCATGTTCTTCATTGTCACCATCACCATGCAACATTTCTGGAAGCTAGAAAAACAAATCTTCACATTAAACTTTGTATAATACTTCTGCTCTAAACAGTTTTTAAAACCATTTTCCTACTTAAGAAAATAAATCACTAAAGTGTAACTACAGACAAAATAATTATTTTATTGAACACAATGCTACCCACCAGATGTATTTTAGTCAAATACTGAAGAAATTTTATGCTTTTGCTAGTCATTAAGGAAATACTAACTCTGTTCCCTCATCATCATCATCCCCCACAACAAACACTTAAAAAATACACATTAGTCATTTTTCAACCAGTTACTATCCACTGACCTTATAAAGTCTGACATTTTACTTTATGCTAAAGTATAAAGCAACTTATTACCAATAAGACACTCAGAAGAAAAGATCACCACAATTCCCACATTTACTAATGTATCTTAAACTCACTAAGAAAGGAAGATTCTTGAGCTGGGCACGGTGGCTCATGCCTAGAAATCCCAGCACTTTGGAAGGCTGAGGTGGGCGGATCATGGGGTCAGGAGTTCGAGACCAGCCTGGCCAATATGGTGAAACCCATAAAAATAGAAAAATTAGCCGGGCGTGGTGGGGCGCACATGTAGTCCCAGCTACTCGGGAGGCTGAGGCAGGAGAATGATTTGAACCCAGGAGGCAGAGGTTGCAGTGAGCCGAGATCACACCACTGTACTCCAGCCTAGGCAACAAAGCAAAACTCCATCTCAAAAAAAAATAAAAATAAAAATAAAAAATTTTAAAAAAGGAAGAAAGATTCTTTTGGGAAATAACTAATTCAAAATGGTTTCACTTCTTCACTCTTTTCCACTTGAAATTCTCATTTCCCACTGCACATGACAGCAAAGAGATACTTGGGGACAAATCCAAATCGCCATTCTATGCCCTTAAGCCACTGCTTTCATTCCAGTAACAGACACAGAAAATAACCTAGCAGAGCTATCCAGCATAACTAGTACCAAGTCATACACACTGCCCTCACAGTGTACTCTATTCTCTTAATATGGATAAAATGTCAAAATTCTGAAAATTGTCACATCTTTGAAGGCATAGTGCTTTGAAAAGTTTATACACGGCTGGGCGTGGTGGCTCATGCCTCTAATCCCAGCACTTTGGGAGGCCAAGGCAGGCAGATCAACTGAGGTTGGGAGTTTGAGACCAGCCTGACCAACATGGAGTAACCCCATGTCTACCAAAAATACAAAATTAGCTGGGTGTGGTGGTGCATGCCTGTAATCCTGGGAGGCTGAGGCAGGAGAATTGCTTGAACCCAGGAGGTGGAGGTGAGATCACACCACTGTACTCCATCCTGGGCAACAAGAGCAAAACTCCGTCTCAAAAAAAAAAAGAAAAGTTTATATACTTCAATTTCTAAAGCATACCACATACTACTACATCTAAGAGTAATCTATAGATTCAAAATATAAAAATTAAATTCCTCTAATTTCTCTAAGTAAATAAGATTTGTGGAAGAAATACATGTGCATCATTATAGGCATACATTCTTTCCACCCAAACCTAATCTAAAATTGTGAAAGAATTGCTACTTCCAATTTTTACTTTCACTTTTCTGCAAACATAGTTCAAATGTGCAATCAATATCTACAGAAAGATGACACTGATATGCTACTCTCTGGGACACTACGTTTTACTCCAAAACAGTATCTTGGTGCTTTGGGGTTTAGGGAGGAAAAATCTAGTGTTAAGTCACGTAATTCTTAATTCATACTTCTTCCTGTCTAGGAAGAAACATCATTATTTGTTATTAAATAATGGGTACAATTAATCCAACCACCATGCTCTGACAGTGCTACAGTATATTTTAGCCATCTTCTAAAGGTCATATTTAAGAACTACAGCATGCT